GCCGCCCAATCTGCTTAAAGTTTGGCAAGCAACGTCAAGGCAAGCAGTTGCAATACTTCTTTGCATTATTCTATACCATTTGCATTTGGTAGACTTGTACTCGTGTTTCAGTTACAATCCATCCCGCAATAGCGCCCTATGGCTGCAGGCCTCCAGCTCTTCTCCGAGCTACTTTGCAACAACCTTCAAGTCGCCACTTGGACCTTCGCAGAACACCGTTCTCTCATGTTACGAAGCGTTGCGAAGCATGGCAAAGCATGGCATCATTGCCGTGGAGCCTTTCAACTCGACTTCGATGCGTGTGTCGCTGACTGGGGAGACGAGGACACCATCGGCTTCAGCGTGACCATCAGCTCCTTGCAGCGACTGGGGCGCTGGCAGCAACTCGGGTGAACACCAGAACTTGACAGACAAACGGATGGGTCTTTTTAGTAGGGGACCACCAAAAATGGTTGGTTTCCTTTTGATTTCCCTTTAAAACTACCGAAAAGGGGTACCCTCACAAAAGGACACACCCGACATATACCTTGAGTGCCGATTTGGGCTGGGCCCTTTGTCCTGGCCGAAATCACCATCCCACGAAACGCTTGACGCCAAATCACCCGTGAAGCCTCCAGATTTGGAGGTCCCCGGAAGAAGCGATTTCGGGTCCTCTACTAGGACAATCGTGTCCTTACGTCATCTCTTCAAGAATATCCTACGTCCTCTCATTTGATCCCGGTAGGACTAATGTTTGAAAGCTAGTACCACCAGACCTAGAGCACTTCAGGACCCCCAGGATTGGGCCTGGGTGGGCCCCTTTTTCTCCTTGTCCTGCTGGTTAACTACGACAAGGACTTGCGGATAGCCATTTTGTCTGGGTCGAGAATCCGGCAATCTAGAAGCCAACGCATTGGTAACCCCTCCCAAAGGGCAATGTTGACAGCGCACTCAGCTGAGGCCAGCTAGCAAGCTTCTTCGTGCAGCTTGCTTCAATCATATTTGAGCAGCGTTGGCTTCCTACATGCAATGCGGATACGTTTCAGGTTTATGACCGCACAAGATGGCTGGGATAGCAGTTTTGACTGTGCGGCATGGCGCTGGTCAGTGTCAGGATATGCCAGTTTGGAGAATTCACAGAAATACGGTGGGTGCGAGTCTCAGGCGTTCTTACCTGCCGGCCAAGGGAGAGGGAGTTGAAAAACCAAACTTGGTGCTAATGACATGCCCTTTCCAGAAATCGTTACAGAATTGCACAGATTGAGCCATTGGGAGCTAGAAAGTCCAGACAAACAAAGGGCCCGTCTGTTCTCAACCAGCAGTTGCAACCAATCAGCTAGAACAAGCAAGTCATGACCGAACCATAAACTGGCGCTCCCTTTTGCCGTGGTTTCAACTTGGCATCCTTTCCTTGTCAAGGTGCCAATGCTGCCATCGCCGCATGCAGAGGGCCTGATTGGCCCTTCACGCTAGATTTGCTGAGTTGCCGCTCAGCTTAAATCGAGGGTCTGGACCCCCATCCCCGAGGCTTCTCCAGGGGACCATGCCTTCTCAGTTCTTGGAACCGCTCTAAAGGGCGCTACACCCAGACATAAATTTACTTGATGATTGCTTTCCCAGCTGTCCCCCCCTCACACGAAGGTTCAACGCACTGAGACCTCTTTCTCTTTAGGCGCTGTTTCACAACAAATCTGGGCCCCTGGGACTGGAAATTGGAACCCTGTTGTTTTCCCTGTGGTCAAAAACCAGCTAGGATCCCCAAGAAATAACAGGGGATCCGATCAGGGCGACGCAGAACCGGCTGGGGGGAACCGCCCGAAAAAAAAAACAAAAAAAAACTGAGAAGGCACGATACCCCGGGGAAAAGCCGATGTGCGTTTTTACTGTAAGGTACCTCATTTTTGGCCATAGGCTTTTCCCAAGTGGACAGTGCCTTCTCAACTTTTTATTTTTTTTGAAAAATAAAAATAAAAATGAGCGAGCACGCAGAGGTTGGGGGAGCACGCAAACCCGGAGAAGGCCCGCAAAACCGGAGAAGGCCCGCAAAACCGGAGAAGGCCCGCAAAATCCGGAGAAGGCCCGGAAAAAATATGAGTCTGTTTTGTTTGGCGATGTGTGACGTGCAAATCCGCATCCATGGCTGCTGGTGATGCCTGTGCTGCTGCTGATGCTGGTTATGCCTTTGATGCTGGTGATGCCTCTGAACTGGTAATGCCTAAAAGTATCAGGCCAGAGCCAAGGCTGACAAACCAACATGCCAGCCCTTGAGAAGGCACGCTTATCTGGGGGAACCCGCAAAATCCAGAGGACGCGTGTCCAGACTTCCGATTAAAGGTGCAGCCATGCTCGAAGGGTGAGTATGGCTTTAGATGGAAAGCAGCGAGGGGAACGAGAGGGAGAGAGAGATAGCTCAAATGGGGAGGTAGACCTGGTCCAAGAGGAGACTTCTTTGAAGCAACAAGGAAAGAAAGGAAGAGCCGCATGGAACAAATCATCCCCGCACTGTTCTGGGCTTCTGCGGATACATTGCACTACAGCATGTTTCCAAGATGCCGTTCCGCAAACAAGGGATGCCAGAAGCTGGTATGCAGCCTGATCGCAGCTCGGCTTCAAATACATATCTCGCGTCTTCGGAATGGCAAAGATCTTTCTAGTGAGTGGGCATACATTGTCCATTTTGTGTGTGCTTTATCCTTGGCCAGAGGGGCCGGCACTCCCGCAGTGCTCGTGCAAACGTTTCAGTGCCAGTGCAGATTGCATTGCTGAGGAATTACAATGAATTCCCAGATTTCATGCAGTGCACGCGGGATCCAATGGATCAGCGCGCTGCACCTTTTTGCCCCCTGGCAGCTTTTTTTTTATTAGCGGATTGGGCTGTTCGCAAATCCAAATTGACAGAGGGATCATTGGCAAGAGCAGGGATTCCACAAGTTAGGCCGCGCGGGTTAGACGGAGCGGTCAGTCCCCAGCATGTGGTCGACTGATCATGTCTCATAAAGACTCAATCTACGTATGCGCTTTTACATCTAATGGTGGTGGCTGCGGCATGTCCGGAGCCCTTTCAGCGAGGGCGCAAATGGGCACAACATGCAAAAGAAGAGCCAACGAGACCTGATGATATCAGTGCTTTCTGGTGACTGGCGTTGACAAGATGAAGCAAGTGCAACCTTTGCAAGCTCAAACTGGTCGCACATCGGCAAATCATCGCAACACAGCGACCAGAAGACACAAGCCAGTATGACATGGGAGGGAATGCAAGGTCAAGGGAAGCGGAGTTTGGGATGAAGACTGGTGTTTAATTCCAATTTGAGCAAACGCAGCAAACAGACATGCAGCATTTCAAGGTAACAGACATGCAGCATGACATGCATGTTTCCAAGCCTCAGGCTCACCTTGGAGAGCTGGGCATGCGCTTCAACGAGGCCTCGGGGCACCGGGGATCTTTGCCGGATGAAACTCGAGGTCCACCTGCCTTGGCACAAGCCTCGGCACCGCACATCAAGTTCAAATGGGGCACGAATGCCCAAGACTTCGCTTCAGCTGTGGCAGTAGCTGTGTTTGCTGAGTTTGCTGCTTCTTTTTTGGCGCGGCGTTTTTTGGTGCTGCTGCCGCTGGTGCCCGCTGGGCGGTGGGTGGGTGGTGGCTGTACGCGCACCAGCTGTTTGCCCCGGCAAGGTTGGGGTGGCTTTGCGTCCTTATAAGGGCTTGCGAAGGCTGCTTTCAGAACGTGAGTTGGCCAAAGTCGGCAACTGTGACTGGTCTTTTCTGCCAAAGTCGACTGGTATTGATCTTGAACACCAGGCACGTTCCCAGTGGACTCAGAAGCAGAGCATTTTCGCTGAAGGCCTGACACAAAAATTGATACGCTCAAAGCCAGATGCCCCATTCCAGCCAAGTGGATGTGGCTCTCGAGAACGCTTCAGCGGAGGTGACATTGGGGGCTGCCGCAGCCGCCCTCGAGGCGCATCGGGGCGGGTGGTTTGAGAGCGGTCATAGGTCGGTTGATTGCAAGCTTGAGCGAGGAATATCTGCAAGCTCTAGGGGCCCTTACTTGCAAGGCCAAGTCTTGATACTTGGCCTTGGGAGCAGGGGTCTTCTCATTGGTAGAGGAAGAGGTTTCAGAGCAACCAGGTTGGGGTGACATGACTGCTATAGGGCTGAAGCGATCAAACTAAGTGCAACCACTTTCAACCAAACTAACTCCAAGGAAGGCGTTTTGCCCCCAGATCGAGGACCCTGGGCTTTGGCGGATGGGCGCGCAGCTGCTGACGGCCTTGACGGAAGGCCGAACGCCGCTCGCCTGTGCCGCTTTCCAAGCCGATTGGTCGCGTCTTTTTTAGGGTTCCCCTTGTTTGGCTGGGCTGTTGAACGGCAATCCGCAAGATCCTTACTTTGGGTTGCGAAAGGGGTTGCTTTGTAGTGATTGTACAAGAGGGACTATGGATTAGGATTGGCCAACACCATTTTGACCAGCCCTGTTTGGTGGGACCAAAACTGACACCGTCCATATTGGGGGTCCCCTTAAAAAGACCGAGTGGCTTCCAAGAAGTTGAAAGAAGTGCAGTTCCGTATGCCTGAAGCCGGGCCCAGTCTTCCCGAATGGAAGATATTTCCCAGCCGTGAGCTGCGGTTTCCCATGTTTGAAGAGACCGCAATTTGTGAGCCAAAGTGCAAGCGATCGACCACGGTCCCAATAAGACGCAGCCGTCGCGAGGCTTTCGTGTGGAAGCCACGACCTGCTTCGATGCTTCCCTGCGCAGCTGCTGGAAAGGCGACCGCTGTCTAATTTGGGGGTGTTTTGGAGGGTGCCCTTTTAAAAGGGGTTTCAAGGGAAACCAAAAGGGCTTCTTTTTTTTGGGTGGCCCCTAAACAAAGACTAAGACACGCCCATGTGATATCGCGCGACGGACCTGGAATCTCGCAGGGACGACACGAAATGTGTGACTGCCCCGTCATAGCGTACTGGAATTGAGTTGTTTCGTGTTGCTTGCAGTTGCCGCGGCGCCTTGTGTTTTCTGACGTCGGTGCTGTTTCAAAACAGGGCTGGGATCTCCCACCTCCAATCTCCAAACCCCTGCTTGCTGTTACACTTTCCTCTACGAGGCATAGCCCTGAGTAGTGTATGTAAGAATTGGCCCCGCCTGGATACTTTGATACATGTCAAACCCATTTGCTGCTTGACTTTGTTTCCTTTTGCCAGGAGGTCGGCCAGACCTGGTTCTGATGCTATTCGACGCCATGCCGCGGCTCAGGCTGGCAGCTTTTGTGCTTGCATCCTGGGTGAGCTAAGAAGGAAAAACATGGCAAGCAGGCTGGAGCAGCCAGCCTGATCGGCCTAAAGGGCAAATCAGCTAATCCAGTCGAGTGTAAAGGTCATCGGGGCCCGTCGTCACCTTGATAGACTTGCATCATTTTCTCAGCTCAACTTTTGGCCTAGCACGATCCGCATAGCCCGATTTCAGGCTTCCGCGGGATGAGGTCGGCTTCAGAACAGCCGTGGAGGCGAGCAAGGAGGCCAAAGCATCCAGGGCGCCGCGGAAATCTAGGGCGAGTCTCATTTCGGGTCGTTCTTGTACCCATGGTAGGGCTGGTTCAGAGTTGCTGCTTGCCATATGGCCCAAGGGCTCGCAGCTACAGGTGCTTCCTGCCAGGCTGCTAGGCTGCTGGGCTACTAGGCTGCTGGGAAGGGTCGCAAGCAGTTCTGGTGCACATCCTGGATGAAGGATAGATTTCAGATGAACCGGGTGATTCTGGGGTTTTGCGCTGAATGTATACTAGGGTTACTAGGGACTCTTCACATTTGGGGTAGCATTCTGTATTTTCGGCAAAGGTGTATTTGTCCATGCTCATGGTGTAGGTGGCTTCCTGGCGTCGGAGTATGGGATCCTTGGCATTGACAGATGGCTGCCAACGGCTTTTGGGCGCAGTCCTAATTGATTGAGACGTGGGGCAGCAACGTCAGCAGTGTCTGAGCCAGACGATACTTTGGCAGGGAAGGTTTAACTGCCTCCGTTGTCGCTTCCAGAACCGATGGATTGAGCTTGCAGCAGCTCAGGGTTGCTTTTCTGTCTGCAAGCTCGAGATCCCGCAATGTATGGAAGAAAAGCAGAGAGGTGGCATTTGTAGCATGACAACAGTCATCGATTTCCTTCCGATCATGTCATCGGCCAAGGTCATCTTCGGCTGGGCGTAGCTTGGGCTGCAACCCAGCGCCTACCAGAGAAGACTCGAGGAGTTGCAGTGGTTTTTGCCAGGAAACTATGGCATCCTAAAACTTGTCAAAGGGTGGGCTCTTTGCCGTGAACAGGCTGCCAACCTCTTTGTGCCAGGGTTGAAAAGCTTGTGGTTCATTTGACTAGTGAAGGATCTTGTTTGGGAACCATGACGGTCCGATTTCGATCCTGTACACCTGTGCGTGCGTCCGTGCGTGTCTGTGTGCGCGTGCGTACGTGTGTGTGTGTGCGCAGGTGTTATGTATGTATGTAATGTAATGTACTGCAGTGTAGTGTAACGTAATGTCGTGTAATGCAATTAATGCAATGTAACGCAACGGAACATAGCGTAGTGGATGAATGTAATGTAATTTAATGAAATGTAACGTAATGGAATGTAATGTGTGTAGGTACGCATGTATGTATTATATTGTAGTGTATTGTATGTAATGTAATATAATGCAATGTAATGTAATGTAATGTATGTATGTAATGTATGTGTGTATGCATGCACACATGCATGTGTGTATGTTTGTATGTGTCTATGTTAATATGGTTGTATGTACGCATGGTAGATTAGGTAGTGTTATGTTATGTTATGGTATGTTATGTGATGTATGGAATCAATGCATGTAATGTATGCATTTAATGTAACTGTAATGTAAATGCTATGCAATGCCATGCCATGTAATCTAATGTAATGCAATGTAATGTAATGTAATGTATGTATGTCATGTATCTAATGCATGCATGTATGTAATGCAATGTAACGCAATGTGTACTGTTTGTAGTGTAATGTAATTTAATGCACTGCAACGGCATGTGATGTAATGTAATGCAATGTAATGTGATGTAGTGTGATGTAATGTGATGTGATGTGATGCAATGTAATGTAATGTAATGTAATGTATTGTAATGTAATGTAATGTATGTGTGTAATGTAATGTAATGTATTGCAATGTAATATGATGTAATGTAATTTAAAGTCAGGTAATGTATGTATGTATGTAGGTAGGTAGGTATGCAGGTATGTATGTATTAATGTATTAATGTAATGTAATGTAATGGAATGTAAACGAAATGGAATGTAATGTAATGGAATATATGTATGTATGTGTGTATGTATGCAATGCAATGCAATGCAATGTAATGTAATGCAATGCAATGCAATGCAATGCAATGCAATGTAATGCAATGCAATGTAATGTAATGTATGTATGTATGTGATCTATGCATGTAATTCATGTAATGCATGTAATGTATGTAATGTAATGAAATTAAATGAAATTAAATGAAATGCAATGTGTGTATGTATTTAACGTAATGTAATGTAATGTAATGTAATATAATGTAATGTAATGAAGTGTAGTGTAATGTAATGTAATGTAACGTAATGTGCGTAGGTACGTATGTAATGTATGCATGTACGTATGTATGTATGCATGTATGTATGTATGCATGTATGTACGTATGTAACGTAATGTAATGTAATGTAGTGTAATGTAATGTAATGTAATGTAATGTAATGTAATGTAATGCAGTATAAAGCAATGTAATGTAATGCAATGTAATGTAATGCAACGCAATGTAATGTATGTATGTATCTAATGTATGTATATATGTATGCATGCATGCATGCATGCGTGTAATGTAATGTTATGCAATGTAACTCAAGGTAATGCAATGTAATGTAATGCCATGCAGTGCAATGTATTGTAATGTAATTTCATGTAATGCAATGCAATGCCTGTGTGTGTGTGTGTGCGTGTTTGTGCCAGCGTGTGTGTGTGTGTGTGTGTGTGTGCCTGTGTGTCTTTGTTTGTGCTTGTGCCAGTGTGGTGTGAGTGCCGTCTACAGTTGAGAAGCTGACTGCAACTTAGGTGCATATTTGAAGTAGTTTCTGGTTCATTTGGCAAGGGCCATTGGTAAATTCATGTTGTTGGTGCTCAACTGACAAGCATCCCAATGTTTCTGCTTTTCTCGGCTCAGCGGATGTTTGGTCAAGCTCAGCATGCCGCATCCATGGTATCAAGATCGTGGAGAGAGGCGGGGCACTCAGTGCACCAGGCATTTGGATTTTTCATCAAAGCTAAATGGTTCTATCTTTTTGAGGGTCCCCTCTTTCGGTGGTTTTCAAATGACACCAAAAGGAACACCTCCACAAATGACACACCTTCGGTGCCCCCAATTTCCCCCTCCCTTCCCCAAATTGCTGGCACGGAGCTAGCACTTGCTGTGCTTGTGGCCCGGTGGCCTCCGCACCGAGTGGTAGAATGTGGCAGTGCGTGTAAAGCGGTCAGAACATGAACTGTGTGCAACTCCAAGTTTCCCATGTTTGAGCAACCCGAACTTGCATCTCTAGAAAAACAGGCCGAACTTTGGGGTCGGTGGAGAAAATATCCTTTCCGGTTGAGTATTTTTTTCAATCTTGGCGTATTCTAGGTTTAGTGCCGGGACTTTGGATGTGTGAGAGAGGTTCTAGGGGGACGGGATTATGTCAGGCTGATAGATCCGCGCCTTGGCCACTGTCCAGTTGCCAAGCACCAGACACCCTGAAGGCCCTGCTTGGTGGGAAACACGAGTCAAGACCCAAAAAACATCCTCGAGGGCGAAATGTCACGGTGCGCCCAACATGTTGGTTATCCTTTGTTTCCATCTTTGAAGCAGGTTTCATAATTAAGTGAGTACCAACATGTCACTCACTTCCATCCCTCTTGCTTTGATTTTGCCTTCCTGGTCAGGGTGCTTCTGCCAGTGCCAACAGAAGATCCAGAGGCGGAAGTGAAGCGCCAAGAGTCAGATAATGCGATCACAGGTTGACACGAGTGCTTCTCATGCGCAGCTCGAAAGCATTTCTTGTCAAGATGCCCAACTAGGGCTGAAATGCCGCCCAGGTCTATCCAGATCATGTTCCGCTCTCTCCGAAGGTGCGAGTTTTTGTGCGCGGACTGAACAAACATCCGAGGTCCAAGTCTTGGTAAGAAATCCAAGGATTGGCCGTTTGTGATACGGACAATATCATCGCCTTTTTGCAATGCAATGACTATGGTCGGCTTGCGTGCAGGCATGTGGGCCGAAAAAGAAATCCTGCGCCTTTTTGTTGTGTAAGGGCTGCAGGCCCAGAACGCTATAAACTAATGCTACCCGTACAACTTTGTACATTCCACAACACTACACTTGTAACTTTCCAGCCGGAGCTGCCAAAAGTGTTCGAAGAGGCTTTCGACCTCGAGCTGCCAGAGTGTACTTTGCTTGCTGCACTCGCACTCAAAAATCGTGACTTTCGAGACTGCGCTGCCAAAGTGTACTTGGTATGCTACACTTGCACTGAAATGTTGCGACTTTCAAGCCAGAGCTGCCAAAGCACTGCAAACGATACCAATCGATACCAGGCTATAAGGTTACAAGCCAACGCCTGGGCCTCGCACTGGCCTTCCCGCTTTGCGGGATGCAGGATGGGGGCTCTTTCATGCGTAACGGCCGCTGGCCGCTGATTGCCCTGACGCTGTTGGTGGCTATGGTGGCGAAGCTTGGCATCGTGCGCGGCTGGGCGGGGTGCGATGCTCTAATGGGGCGTTGCAAGCAAAGCGTTAGCACAAGTTTGTGTCGACAAGGTTTCATCTACAGATGAACGGAGCTAGGCACAGACATGCACAAATAGAGCGGGATAGAAAGAGCGTGGTCAGCAATCTGAGGGGACGTGCAAAGTTCAAGTTGGGGTTGACTGGGATCTAGCCTAGAATGGGCAGACTCTCCTGTTGACACGGAGGCCAATGGGAAAAGCACAACTTGACAAAGGGGATATGATGAAGATACCTCCACGTACTGATGTCCTGGCTGAGGACCTGTGCGTACTTCCGGCCGTGGGAACTTTCCAGTGGCATGAGCTCCCTCCCGCCCCTCGGTGATCACGGATGCGACGAGGGGAGATGGGCCAAGTCCATTTGGGTGCGTTTGGTTTAAGGGAACCGTCTTTCGGAGTGGTTTGAAAGGGAAGCCAAAAGGAACACCTGATTCGGGTCACCTGTTTTTTTGACACATACCCATTTTCTGGCAGGGGGTCTGCTTCAAAGAAAGATGATGCCACGATCGAGTTGGAGGGGTCGGGGTGCAGTTTGGTTGGTTAGTGGGCTGGTGGGTTGGTTTTGTCATGGTGGATTTCTGGATTGGATGGGGCCCAAACTTTGGAGCCCAAGGATTACCCAACATGGCATGGACATCGATATTTGTGTGGCATTTGGTTCCCCGCAGCGCTCTTGCATGTTTGATCACTCCGATCTTGCGTGCTGCGCACTGTGGGCCGAAAGTCGCGGTGAACTGAGCCGGTCGATGTCCTCTGCCGGAGGTCGGAGGATCCCGACATCCAGGAGAAGGAGCTCCAGTGCCACGAGGCATGTGGTAACAGTGGGGTGTGGGTTGCAAACTCCACAGATTGGAGTTTTGACTGTGCCAGCTGGTATCTTGTTTCCCGTCTCGACGCAATCTGGAGCAATCAGCCTGAGAGCGCGGGGCATCCTCGGCTGTGCCATGCCATGAATCAGACTCTCAATGTTGGCTTCGGCAGTTGGGTCTTTGGCAGAAGCTCTTCCCTTCCAGGGCTGCCGCAGCCAAGACCGAAAAAACATGCAATGCCGGAGCCTTAGATTGGACGGGGGACGGAATGCTTTGTGCACCAGCATGCAATATTGGATCACTGAAGCGGATTTTGAAACATTCTGAAAACAGGATTTTCCTCCTGCCTTAGAATGGCATTTGACAACGCATGTCGATTGTTTTGGAAAACAAGCTAGCAGATGGTGCATTTAGTGCGGGAGTTAACGCCCCATGAACGACAGAGGGCCATTCATGTTTGGTTTTGCTTGCATGTTTTAGTTTAGAAACTGGACGCAGATATCCACGGAGGCACCAATGTAGCTCAGATATGCAAGTGATCAAGTGAATAACAGGAAGGAGTGTGGCGAAAGAAGGAGTAAATGA